TTGCCAACCACACGCTTTGATTTGGATGATGATGGCTTCGGATCTTGCTCGGATATATCCCCTTGAAGGGTTTCTTTTTCCTCTGGCAACAGGAAATCGATTCCAGGCTTTCCTGGTGGAATCGTCTCGTCCTTACGGACCTTCGTAATGTTGACCTTGAGGAGTCTTGTTCCGAGATCAAGTCCGATCATGGGCCCCTCAATCGAGATGACCTTTCCCTTAAGCCATATTCCTCCTTTGCTTCCGTCGGATCGAATCTTGGACTTGTCTTCCTGCCAGTAGAATACCTTGTCCTTCACCTGGAGAGGCTTGGAACTCATTCTGAGATTCTGGGCTAGATCTCTTCGGATGTCTTCGGACTGACAAGCTTCCTGGAATGCTTGCTTCGACAGTTGCTTTATCTGGACTGCGGCAAGTTCATCTTCATTTTTGTTGATCGTCAATTGCGTTGGTGTCGCGACATCGAGTTGAATGAGATCTGCTGGACGTCTGCCGAATGCTAGTTCCAATGGTGTTACACCTCCATAGGTGACGGTCTGGTTCCTGACAGTTGCTGCTGCCTTCACAAGTTGTCGGTATGTCACCTTCTTGAGTGTGGCAGGTGCAGTGCCTGCTTTGATGGAGTTGAGCATGATCTTGACTTGTGCCTTCAACAATCGAACAGCTGCTTCAGCTCGATTTGGCCATGGTGTGTTTGGTCCCAGGGATATCGGAGTGATGTCAAAGGACTGATAGAAATGCTCCCATGTCTCTGTCATAAAGGCTTGATCTCCGACAACGGATTTTGGCTGCAGGTGGTATTGGTCGAAATAATTTCTGAGGACAGTGATGTTCTCGGATTCTTGAGTCGTGTTCACTACCTCTGCAGCGAGCAATGCTGTTGCTCCATCTAGGATCACGAAGACAATGATGTGCTCTCCAGTTCCGAGGGTAATCTGGCAGTGATCAATGAATGTCATGTCTCCGAATGAGTCTGCACGTAGTCCGCTTGTCTTGCTTCGAGACGGTGCATGTTTTGCTGCTTGACAAACTTCGCACTCGTTTCGGATCTTGTCAAATAGGTCGTATGTTGATTTTCGCAAGTGAAGCGCACGTGTTCTGAATCGAAATTGGTTGGTCGTCATGTGATGATGCTGGAGGTGGAGCTTCTTCAACTCTTCTGGATTCGACAATCGCTTGTGGATCCTTCCCAATGCTAGTGGAAGTGTTGTCGGTTCATCGGATGGTGGTGCAGCAGGAATTGGCTCAGTGGTCGACCGGCCCTTCTTGTCGATGATCCTGTCTGCAGCTGAACCTGTTTCTTCTTCTTCTTGCGGATTGTCTGAGAAGGTGAAAATGGTCTTGCCCTTCCATAAGTCAGTCATCGGTCGGTTTGCTCTGGATGTAAGTCTCCAGTTATCCTCGATGATCTCTGGCTCTCCACCCTTGGATGCATCTATCATCTGTGTAGTGCGTTCTCGGCTGATGCAGTCGAGATCAATTGGACATTCCTTCGGTCCATTCGGTGTGAAAAGTGCCTTTCGAGGTGTGTTGTGCACTCGAATGAGCTGCTTGTTCTTGTCAAAGATCCAATGATCTTGCTTCTGAGACCCAATAATCTTTGGTGTCGTGGCATCTTCCTTAGCTTCGGATGACTTGGATGCACAGGCAAGTTCAACCTCGGATGGTTCCTCGGATGAAAATTTCATGCTGTTATCGTCATCGTACACCAGGTTGTTGATGCCCTTGACTGCATATTCTCCATGGCACTTCACCTTCGCGACTCCTGCTAAGTCGACGAGAGCATGTCCCGTCTGGGACACCGGGACAGGTTGCCGATCCATGCCGAAAGCCTTACATGTAATCTTATCGCATTGTGGAGTATGCTCGATGGTCATGTAAAGGTTTCGCATCTGACTGATGCTGAGAAGAATCGGCACTGTTCCCTGCTCCAAAACGTCGATCTTCGTACTGCATGGTGGAGTCGTATGGTACATTAGCTGCAAGGTCCAGTTGACCTTGGCTGTCTCTCCATTCGCGAAAGTGAACTTGGTATCAGCCGGAATGTACCTGTAGGAAACGAGGTGTCGCAATGGTTCAATGGCTTGTGTAAAACGCTGGATCGCATGCCAGCTGCCCATGGATCTGGTACAACCATTGTCCAAAATCGCATAGGTCGGATTCTCTGAAGGGTTGATGACAGACGCCATCAGCTTCGTAGCCAAGAGGCTGCGATTTGTTGTAGCAAGCAAATTGTTCTCTGAAACCAAATCTGCATGGATAGGCTTCCAGTTGATGGTCGTCTCATCATGATTCCTGATCGCATCATGATAGGCCATATACGCTTGCATCGGATGAGTTGTTTCGCAGGAGGAGTACCAGCCTGCTGCATAGTTGTTCCATGACTGATCCCAATCCTGATCTGTCCAACCGGCATGGGGAGGCTCTTGAGGTTCAACAGGCTGCTGACTGGCAGGATGTTCCTCGGATTTCTCTACTGTGGCTGCGAATGTCTTGGACTTGCCTTTGTCGAATCCGCTTTTTCCTTTGCCACTTTCGTATGGAGGGTATCCTTTGGGTATCCTTTGTATCCCTCGAAGGGTTGTTGGAATTTCGTCTTTCCTTTCTTTCCCTTCTTGCCTTTGCCTTTTCCCCAATATGCCTGGTCGTAGGGATCATAATTTTCATTGGCCATATTGGCCTTCCCGCCAGATCCACTCTTCTTGAAGGGTTTGAAGCCGCCTCGTTGGTGGCTTGCCCTTTTGTTCTTTGATCTTCCTTTGCCTTTGCGTCTGCCAAATTTGATGTTGCGCCCCGGCACCTTTCTCGCAATGAAAGCATCATTTTCTTCTAATACCCAAAAAGTGTCCTCATCATTACAGGAAATGAATCCTTCGCATCCTTCATCGTCTTCAACCCAGAAACCTTCTTCGCCTTCGTATTCTCCTTGATCAAGGATGTAGAAGGTGTTGTTCCTATAGGTTCCTGATGGTCGGATCGATGGATCTTGGATCGAGGTGCGTGTTGTAATGAAGAGGTCATGGTATTGCGTCTTCAACATCTCGTATGTGTACTGTTCCAGTGTCAAACCTCTGAGTGACATCGCACTGACCAGACGTTCGCGTTGCTGGTCCGTCAGCTCGCTCTGGATGATGTAGAACTGCGCAATCAAATTGTCACCAAATGGGAATGCTTCTCGGCGCCTGTTTTGCATACCGTTGAGGTAACTCTGAAAGACCTCAGGGTTGTCTGCTCGAAGCGGGTCTGGAGGCGCGGCCCGGGCACCAGCTGATTGCTGAAACTGGGCCATTCTTCTTGCATTTGCATCGTTGACTGATGCTATGAACTGCTGGGACTGAGGCGTGTGAACTGGCATCAAGTCCATCCAGGCTGACCTCAATCGCATGAGGAGAATGTCGAATTTGGATGTAAATATGAGAAACTCGTTGTTATTCCTTCGGTGGTTGAAGAAACTGAGGAGTCTGTAAAGATACACATTGGTAGCTCCCTTGAGGAAGTACTTCTTCAGCGTGTTCTTGAAATAGTTGACTCCTTCGGCAGGATCTTGCAAAAGTTCGTTCTGAAGGACTGATTTGTACATGTATGCATCACCAGTGAGTCTGCTCTTCAGGAGTGGACCTTGTTTGGCTGCCTCGACTGTCGTGATGGTCACCCAATCATCAACAAGTTCTTCATATCTGAACCAGCTGACCTTCCCGTCGAATGATGGCGGCAACTTGGTCGTCATCGACAGGTTGAGCGTGTCTTCGGTGTAGCTCATTGGTCGGCTCGCACTTGCATATGCTTCTGGGAAGCCTGCTTCATCGGATGACATCTTCGAATGAGTCTCCGCGGATAAACCTGCTCCGCTACCACTTATTGTATCGCACCCCAAGGGCACCGTATCCCCTCGAATGATGAGAACGGGTGCTCGGATGACAATACTAGGTCCTGGTTCTATACCCGCACAAAGGAGCTCAGTCGGATGTCCTTTTCTTCTGTCGAATGATGGCGAGTGGATTCTGCAATAGCTCTAGTGTACAATGTTGGACAAAAGGGCCTTGAGCCAAAATGTAAACAGTATGAATGAATTGCATGGAAGCTAATGTGGTTCACAAAACAGGAACAGGGGGTCGGGGGTTTTCGGGATGTTTTTTTTTTTGGGGGGGGGGGTGGTTGTTGCCGTAACATGTTACTGCGTCCCTTTTCCGGCACTCTGTCTCTCCGACCAAACAAAATTGCTCCTGCGCATCCGGAGGGCTCAGTGCTTCAGTGACGGAGAAAAAAGCTGGAAGTCTGCTTTAGACAACTCAAGCGGTACTGGAAGTGGCACTCTTTCGCCCACTCTAAGTCACAGTTTAGTAAGAAGGTCGAGGCAAAGTCTGCGCAGGATTTTCCAAAAGAAGCGGAGCGCAACAAATAGATTGGCTTTAGCAATGGCTAAAGGCTTTTGTCAAGAAGACAGCGAAAAGCAAATGCAAAGGGGCAATCAACGATAATATTTTTGATACAGCCTACCAGTATGACTGGCACAAGAATCATTGCGGCCAAGACTTCTTCACTTTGTTGGGGGGTCTCGCAGCTCAATAGATGAGCCGCGGACAAAAGAAGGCTGCAAGTGCTTGTTTACCCCACGCATGCCATTGAGCGTCTTATCTTCACGCGCGCTCATGGAACGCAATCCACATGTGTTTTCGCCCTTCTGCTTGAAACGCAGTGTTTTTCCCTTAGTTGTCCTTCATGTTGAAAAAGGCCACGTCCGCAAATAGCAGGGGTCATGGGGGGGCCGTGTTACCTTGTTTTACTTCCGATGATCATGGTACTTTGATCATGGTCAAGACAGCCTCTTCAGAAATTCTTGTGACTTGCCCGTGCTGCTTCATGCCTGCGTTTGTGCCACCTCCTTGTTAGCCCCCTGAACCAGGGAATTGGGGAAGGCGGATTCTTGCTTCTGCTGGAGCTTCTTGCTTCTGCGGACTTTGGTAGGAACTTGTGATTTTGGGCGTCTCGTTGCTCTGCAGGCCGCTGCTGAGGCTGCTCCAGCAGCTGCGTGCGAGCCGGCCAGCGAGGCCTGGTCAATGTGGTGCCGCCCGGGTCCTTCCCGCGCTTGACTCATTCGGAGGTGAAAGGCAAGTCTTGCGAACACAAATGCTGCCAGGCGGAGCAAACAGGCTTTTCAATGGCCATGGTAACATGAAGGAAACATGTTTTGGCCCCTGAGGGGTGACGAACATAGCATAGCCTGGAACGCGCAAGAAAGCGATTGAGCTTGACTCTGGTCCGGCTTTGCGAAATGATTTGAAGGCGTAGCAGGGGTGTGAGCTCACGCCTTTTGAAAAATACCAAGCGTTTATCAAGCGTGGTTTCTTTCGCCAGTTAGGCTGGCGCAGAGGCTCCAAATGGTAATCAGAAAAGGCAATGATCCTTCCAACAGCGGCTGCTTTTTGGGACACAGTCGCACTGGCGCCTTTCAGGCAAGTGGGTCCATGCGCAGGTTTGCGTTTCGCCTGTTATTTCAGGTATTTGGTCGCCTGGCTGGCAGCCGGGCAAGGAAAGAATGAGTTGCTCATCTTGACCTTTCGCTTCCATCATGTCAATGGGCAGGGCTCTCCCCCAAAAGCAGCGGTTTCCTTTTGGCCTCACTTTACAACGCCAAGAGACGGGCACAGCGCAGTTCGGCGCACTCGCAATCGAGTTGTTGAAAGGACGGCCGAAGCATCTGTGAAATTGGTGGGTTCCTTTTGATTTATATATATGTATATATAAATATATCGGTACACTCCTTTAATGTGCCCTGCCCTGTACCTGCCACACCATGTTCAGCACCTTTGTTTCAAGCCACCAGACTGCGTCCACAAGTTGCACCACCCCTGCAACAGAACCTTGAGCACTGTTCGCAATGGCAATCACGTGCGTTGGCCACAATTTGTGCGAAGGATGCATTTGCCGCGTCATGTTTCATGCCGTCAGTCTAATTCCCTGTCAACTCGCTCGTAAACATGGCCCCCACCACCCCCACCCCAGGCCCCTTGCAGCTGTCCACGGCAATTCCAGTCCACCCCAAGCCCTCGCGTGTGGGGAAGAGAGGGCGTCCCAGGAGAGAAAACACTGGTTCGGGGCGCGAAAAGGGGGTATACCCATATTGTTAATATACATCCACTCTGGTACACCACCTTTGTACAGCTTGCTTGATATGTGGCACCCGCTACATATGGATACATCAAGGCCTTGAGCCTAGCTCAGCCAGAGTACATTTGCCCAAGTAGAAAAGAGCTACAGTGCCGCGCTGTCACATACAGGTCTTCACCTCAGGCAATTAGGTCACACAGTCACTTTGAGTTTAACATGGTAGCAGAGCAGTGATCCCTGGCACACGATCCTACTACACCACCCAGGGTGAGCTCCAACACGCACCCACAGGTTCAGGTACACAGTAGTGAGCAACATGGCGGCGCAACAACAACAACAGCAACAGCAACAGAGCAGCAGCTGGAAGGAATCCACAAGTACAAGATATCACCACCACGATTCACAGGAGAATACAACACCTTCGAGGAATGGAAGTACAAGATGGCAGCCTACCTTGGGCTACAGGACCCAGCATACAATAGACTGCTGAGACAGTCAGAACAATCACCAGCACCAGTCACAAATGACCAACTAGAAAATGCAGCACCCTCACAACAGATTGCAGACCAATGGATACAACTGAGCAACAATCTACACTACATCTTAGTGAGCACATGCGATGGACCAGCATCTACAATTTGCAGACAAAACATGCAAGGCAACGGATTTGAGACATGGCGGCTGATACATGCAAGGTACTCCATACCACTTGGTACAAGGAGCATTGGGTACCTTACACGGCTGCTCAAACCACAACTGGATGAACACAAGTTCGAGGAGAGCTTTACAACTTGGGAGTTTCAACTCGCCAAGTATGAACAAGACAACAACACACTACTACCAGATGCAGTCAAAATTGCAGTACTGCTCAATGAAACAAAAGGACCACTACAGCAACACCTAATTACAGCTGCAAGCAGGAAACATCACAACATATGCACAGATCAGATCCATGGTGATCGAGTACTACAGAGCAACAGCATCATTCAACAGGCTACAAGCAATCACTACAGGCGGCAGCAACAACCAAGGACCGGCACCAATGGACATAGGAGCAACATGGTACAACAAGGGCAAAGGAAAGCACAACAAAGGCAAAGGCTATGGCGGCTACGGGAACAACTACAACTACAACAAAGGAGGAAAAGGAAAGTACAATCAGCAACCGGTTGGACAAGGAAATCCTTACAAAGGACAACAAGGATATGGCAAAGGAAAAGGATACAGCAACAAAGGAAACGGCAAAGGAGGATACAACTACAACCAGCAACAAGGAGGAAAAGGAACAAAAGGAAAGCACGCAACAAATGTATGCTACAGATGCGGACAACCAGGACACATGGCCAAACAATGCAGAGTGGCGATTTACAACTGCGACACCGGCAATTTCGACACCAACGACCAGACAGATGACTGGTACAAGCAGGCACACTATGACAACAACTGGTACCACCAAGACCAGACACAGATGCACCAGCTAGCATTACCACAACCACCACATGGAGCAGATCCACAGGCAGTGCCCATCTCAGGACTACAAGAGGTTACAATTGCCATGATTGGCACAGCACAGCAACACACAGAAGACAACAAATGGGTCAGTCTTATGAGTGACATACACATGTGTGCCCACCATGGTTCGCACCACAATTCCCACTACAACACCTTGAACATGGAACAGGACCACAACTCAGAACAGTGACCAACCAGCACATCAAACTTTACGGTACAGATGGGTTTGCATGACAAACCACAGCGGACAACAAATTGTCATACCATTTTACGTTTGTGATGTTAAACAGCCAATTCTTTCGGTTACAAGGCTAGTGGAACAAGGTTTCCAACTTACACTGGATGACAATCCACGGCTACAGCACACCAAAGGATTCACAAGCACACTGGAGAACAGAGACGGCCTGTTCTTCCTACAAGCAGAAATCACAGCAGTACCAAAAGGAACAAAGCTACAGATTCACACTACAGAACAAGGACAAATTGGCATGATAGCACCGACCACAACATTAACACCACAAGGTCCTGCAGACACAGGTTATGCAGGAGACTACTGGCAGTTCAACACCACAGGCGAACTTGTCAGAGTACACAGGCAATACAGAAAGACACTCTTCACACCAGCACGAACACAGTGTCCAGTCCCGGCAGAACAACTTGAGGATTACAGGAGAACAACCATCAGATACAAGGATGGCACAACAAACACGTTTGAGGACAAGTATCAAACAATGGAAATGCCACACAGAGGACAGCAACAAATGTGGAAAGGAGAAACAGCATTCAGGATCAAGAAAGGTACAGCACTACCACAGACACAACATCAGCAGTTTACAGCAAAGACACAACCTAAGAGCGCACCACAGAAGATCACACCACAGGTGATCCACTACAACCCACGCAAGCGTTTGACAGAGAAGACAACACCACCAACAACACAGAGTACAGCAGCACCACACACCACACCAGGTGCAGCTGGACATGGACTTCCACATCCCTCAGAAGTACATCATGGAGGAGATTACTGGTACAGAGAAGGCCCATACTGGAAACGAGTACACATTGAGCCACGCACAGCATTTTACACACCAGAGCAGACACACGACGGGCCAGACATTCGGCGGCTTGCACCTTGGAGACAGACCAAGGTACAACCAGTAGGAGATGAACACAACACAAGGTTAGTAGAGGATGAATGGACAACACAACAAGCAAAGACATCAGACAAGCCTTGGACAGGCTGGACAAACTTTGAGGAACATCAGGAGTTTCCTACACAACTTGAATCAGATGATGAGGAGCAACAGCAAGGTACAAAAGCAAAAGCAGTACAGGCACCCAAGCAACCAACACCACAGGAGATTTTAGAGCACAATGTGACACACCTTCCCTACAGGAGTTGGTGCCCAATATGCGTACAAGCAAGAGGCAGACAGAACAACCACCCAAGGCAACACAGCAAGCAACCAATCATACAGCTTGACTTCGGCTACATCAAAGGCTTTGATGACAGCAACGTACATCCCATCCTCACAGCAATCGACATCCAGTCTGGGATGATCATGGCCATACAGTTGACCAACAAGAGGATGCTCTTCGACTACGCGGTCACACAACTGCAACACTTCCTCATTGAGTGCGGAAGGACAACACACACAATACTACAGGCAGATCAGGAAGACTTCCTGACAGCACTCATCACAGCAGTAGCAAACAAGAATGGCAACATCACCACAAGGAACTCAGGAGCATACAGTTCACAATCACAAGGAGGAGTAGAGCGAGCACACAGAACCTTGTTTGCGCAAATTCGAGCACTCAAGGCACAAATCAGGCAGAACTACAACAGAGACATTCCAATGGAACATCCACTCATGCCTTGGATAGTTCGACACAGCGCATACATCATGAACAGGTATGCAGTGCACAGCAATGGAAACACAAGCTACTTCAACAGATGGAACAGAGAGCAACACACCACTTTGCGAGTTTGGTGAGACAGTGCAATACATGCTACCAACAGTGAAACAATTTCCAAAACTGGAGCCAAGGTTCTACAACGGGATCTGGCTTGGCAAGGATACAACTACAGGCGAATCCCTCATCGGGATCTACAACAAGATTGTCAGAGCAAGGACAATCAGAAGGCAGATCATGCCTCACAAATACAACCAGCAACTACTGGACTGTGTACACACAGGTCCATGGAAGACACCAGCATCAGCACTGCCTACACCGACCCTCACACCACCAGTGACAATGCCAGCAACTCACATCACAGAAGGATGCAGCAACAAGCACGACAGCAGAAGGCAAGAGACAGAGCACAGCACAGTCGAGTGAGCAACAGACAAAACAGAAGGAGACAGCAGAACCAACATCACCAATGGCTACATCACCAACACATCAGAGACGACCAGCGCTACCAGCACCACCGGCTACACCACCACACACAAGAGAAAGAGATGACACAATTGCAGAAGGTAGCACAGGCAAGCAACAGCGCACTACAACAGAGAGACAAGCACTTGAGCGACCTACAACAGCAGAACAACCAAAAGGCAAGATGAGGATCAATGCCATCAAGTTTACAACAAGAGATGGTAAACAAATGGAGACCACATCAAACGAGGACACAGAGGAAATCGACAACGAAAGGATCCTACTAGAGCCCATCATACACGACACAGAAGGTCTGGATCCACAACAGGTAGCACAAGGCATGAAGAAAGAAGTACAACAAATGAAAGACCAATCAGTCTTTACAGAGATTGATGGCAACACAATGACACCAGAACAACAGGCAAACATCATCGAGTCAAAATGGGTTCTCAAACCAAAACACAACGAGGTACGAGCCAGGATAGTAGCAAAGGGCTGCACAGAACCCGTTACAGACCACAACCTACTCTTTGCAAGTACACCTTTGTTTTGCATCTTGAGAGTACTTCTTACAATGGCACTGGTGTACAACTGGTCGGTCTGTACAGGAGATGTAAGTGTTGCATTCCTACATGCAGCAGCAATCTCTTACAACTTGGTAATGAGACCACCACACGAGTTCTACAATGAAGAAAACAGGCACATAATGCGGCGGCTGAACAAAGCAGTTTACGGCTTAAGATCATCACCAAAACAATGGCAAGACCACATAGCACACATCCTCACAGTCACACTTGGACTTGAGAGATGCACAACAGAAAGCAACGTTTACAGGTCAAAAGATTGCCTTGTCTACAACATGATCTATGTAGACGACCTCCTATTCATAGGAGTACAAAGCATCATTAACACGCTTTTCGGCAAGATACAAAAGGAAGTATTGCTAAGGCATACAGGCGATCTAACACCAGGATCAACAATACATTTCCTTGGCAGAAACATCTCACACAAAGGCGACCACATCGACATCAGTCTGAACAACAACTATGTGGACATCATCTTGGAGGAGTCAGGAATGACTACATGCAACCCAGCACCATCACCAGGAGTGTCACACATGAAAGGTACAGCAGAAGATGAAACACCACTTGACCACGAGCAACGCAAACAATACAGGCGGCTTGTTGGCAAGATACAATGGCTAGCATACACAAGACCAGACATCAGCTATGGAGCAAAGGAATTAGCAAGATCACTACAAGCACCAACACAATTTGACAACAAGAAGCTCAAGCACATGATCAGGCACCTTAAAGGCACAAGGTACATGCGACACAACTTGCGGCCAAAGATACAAACACAGGACAGGCGCATTCCACTCAACATCGACACTTACACAGATGCCAACTGGGCATCATGCGAGACAACAAGGAAAAGCACAACAGGCTTTGTGATTTACTTCTTTGGAGCAGCAATACACTATGGCAGCAGAACACAAGCAACAATAGCACTTTCATCAGCAGAATCAGAGCTGTACGCGATTGGTACAGCAGCACAAGAAAGCCTCTACATCAGCAATTTCATCAAAGAAGCATTTGAGGTACGCACCAACATCAGGATACACACAGACAGCAGTGCAGCAAAATCAATAGCAATGAGAGAAGGCACATCCAAGAAAGCAAAGCACATTGAACTACGACACCTCTTCATACAACAACTTGTCAAAAGCAAAATTGTCACAATGCTCAAAGTGCGTTCAGAAGACAACCCCGCTGACTTGCTAACAAGTTTGTCAGCTGCGACATTCTGAACAAGCACTTGTACAACGTTGGCCTGTGAGGCCATTCCACAACAGTCTCACACCAGTAAGTACAGTAGTTTGCACAGCTTGTTAAGCAACCAGTGCACAGGTCACAGCTTCTTTTACTACAAATGCGCGCACTACCGGTCAGTTTAGCTTTGGAGCCATGGGACAGCCCTGGAGTTAATACAACTTTTGGGTTTGTCACACCCTTTTGGTCTACATGGGGAACTACAACTGTGTTGACCATTTCTACATCTTTTGGGACATCTTTCTGCATGACAGTTTGTACATGTTTCAGACAATGCTCTGACACATGCTGCAGCCATTTACACTTTTTGGTTTGTACAGTTTGGAATATATTGCCAGACAATGACCCTTGTCTACATTGGAGAGTACACACCTGAGGAGAGGATAGACATCTGGGATGATACAGGTAGTACAACACTGAGCAGCTTTGGTTTCAACACCATACAGAGCACAACCTCAGATCAGCAACCTCTCACACTTGATGAACTACATGCTCATCCAAGGAATGGGAACGAGTACAGGTTCTACATTGCCCTGACAGTGGAGGAGTACATCTCGATGGTGAGTTCCAGTGGAAACATCACCTGTCTACATGGTTGGACACGAGAGTGTCTCACATGACTTGTAACACAAGTCCACATGATGCTATGATTACACTCACTTGTCTCCTTTCAGAAGGAATAGTGAGTACAGCCAGATTACAAGAATGTTACATAGTTTCTTTTGTGTACAATGCGCATCGTTTGGTGGAATACAGCTCCATGGGTTACATCACCAGCTTCAGCAAGAGCTACAAGATCCTTCAGTTACAGTTGATGTCAAACACGACCTACATCTTCGACGACTATGAGAGCGAGACACTGAGAGTTCACCACATCAACCACCAGTATTTTTGGGAGCTTTTGAGGGTTTACACATGGAGGGCTAGATACATGTGCCACATTGGCACACCGGACTTTCGGTACATTTGAGCCGACAGCAAGGGACATGGTTGTAGAGAACATCTGCATTCTGGAAATCAGTCCACATGCAGTTTGCCTTACATCATCCCGAACCACAAGGCCGTTTGTACATTTGCAAAGTGTGCTGTAGTACAGCACAATTTGAGGAGGGGTGTTAATATACATCCACTCTGGCACACCACCTTTGTACAGCTTGCTTGATATGTGGCGCCCGCTACATATGGATACATCAAGGCCTTGAGCCTAGCTCAGCCAGAGTACATTTGCCCAAGTAGAAAAGAGCTACAGTGCCGCGCTGTCACATACAGGTCTTCACCTCAGGCAATTAGGTCACACAGTCACTTTGAGTTTAACACATATATATATATATCCAGTACTCTTCGGCTGCCTTGCTCGTCCATTTCCTTTTTGAATGTGCCCCCCCCTTTAGGGTTAGGGTGAAGGACTTGGATGAGGGAACCCGCCAGTTCTTGAACAACCCAGAAAATGGAAAGGGTTGCGGCCAAATAGTTTCCTGTTCCTGGGCCCTCAAAAATTGGCGGTGTCCTGGCAAGACCACTATCAAATTCGATTAGCCCAGCATTGCATTTGAGAAATATTACATTTCTTGCATCCTGGACATTTTCCCGGGCCCTCGATTCTTGCGTTTTTTCCCGGAAGCGATCCTATATCCTCAAGGCGGTAACTCCCTCTGAGTGTTTTTTTTGGTCGCGGGTTCGCTTCGGTCCTAGTTGCTGGCTCGCTTCGGTCCTAGTTTTCATCTCGCTTCGGTCCTAGTTTCCTTACTCGCTTGGGTCCTAGTTTCTTCGCCGTTGACTATGGGTTACCCCACCCCGCCCGGCATGTCTTGTTGTTTGGTGTTTGAGAGGCAACATCCTTGTCGACCCCACCCCGCCCGGCATGTCTTGTTGTTAGGTGTTTGAGAGGCAACATCCTTGTCGACCCCACCCCACCCGGCATGTCTTGTTGTTAGGTGCTTGAGAGGCAACATCCTTGTCGATGTTCTTGTTGTTAGGTGTTTGTGAGGCAACATCCTGTCGACCCCAACCGCCCGGCATGTCTTGTTGTTAGGTGTTTGAGAGGCAACTTCCTTGTCGACCCCACCCCGCCCGGCATGTCTTGTTGTTAGGTGTTTGAGAGGCAACATCCTTGTCGACCCCACCCCGCCCGGCATGTCTTGTTGTTAGGTGTTTGAGAGGCAACATCCTTGTCGACCCCACCCCGCCCGGCATGTCTTGTTGTTAGGTGTTTGAGAGGCAACACCCTTTGCGTGTGTCCTGTTGTTAGTGCTCAAAAAGCTATCTTCCACTGCGCCTGAAGTGATCCAAAAATTGCGACAGAAGTGATCCGCAACTGCTCAAACTACGACCAAAGTGAGTGGATTTCAGCTGCGACCAAAGTGATCCAAAAACTGCGACCAAAGTGATCCCCCAGCCGTTTTTTTTGCCCAGCTGCAAAGGCCTTCCAAGAAGCGTTTTGAGCGTGGGAAAGCGTGCAGGCCTGGTTCAGCTGGCTCTTTTGCTGCTGCGCGAGGCAAGGCCCAGTGACATTTGCAGCCCTTGCTGGGCCTATGACAATCTGCGGACATGGTGAGGGATTCTGAAAAGTACATGTTGGGTTGTTTTCCAACCAGAGGGTAATTTCGAGGCTGCCCTTCAATGGGCGCTCTTGGTGCACTTCTGGGGCCCTCCGCCTGCCCAGCCATGCCTGAGGAGCAAATGCTGAGTGTGGCAGCCCAGAGGGGAGGAAGGGAGGGCCTGGCGTGATCGCATTGCACTGGGCCCTTGGAACCCATCTGCTTGTGACTTTTTCCACACTTCGGCGCAGCGTGGCGGCAAGGCCAAGTTGTGTGCGTGTGTGGTTGTGTTTTTTTCACCCTTGTGGAAAATTTATTTGATGGCAAGGCCAACTTTTTTCTGAGCCATCTGATGGCAAGACCAACTTGTGGGTGTTTTTTCCTGCTCTTCTGGGCCATTCAACGGCAAGGCCAGCTTGCGTTTTTTCCTTCCGCTTTTCCGGGCCACGTGACGGCAAGGCCATTTTGTTTTTTCCTGCTTTTCTGGACCATGTCTGAGGGGCCAACCCAAGGTTAGGGTAGGTGTGCGTGTATGTCGCAGCGCATGAATCCTTTGTTGAAAATGATGGAGGTGATGCTCCGGTATGTTTATCACATCTCTTAACGGCTTCCCTTCACTGCCATCTTACTGTCACGTCGGTGATGCCTGTTACCTGGTGTCCCCTGTGTCACAGAAAGGTGAGCCTCCAATAGCCATGACAGGGTTGTTCTTCTAAGCTCACTGAACAGTCCCAAGAAGGACAGTTACACATATACGAGCCGAGCTGATCAATGCCTATTCATTATTAGGCAGGTAAAGCTGATTAGTGTCAGGCTGTTGAGAAATCTCATAGGGGATATGGGAATGGGCCTTGCCAACGTGCAGCCCTGTTGGAATTTGCCTTTGCCGGGGGGAGGGGGGGGGTGTTTCTTGTTTTTGTGTTGCTTGAACCCAGATATCCACTCATGCTGCAATTGTACATATCCGGCTTTGCCGTATATGGCTCAAGCCTGGTGCGTGAATGAGATCATACTCCTGCGGAGTAAAAGGATCGTACCACTTGCTGACTGTGCTACAACGTTGTATATATATTGTTTGGGAATACCAAACACTGCCTATTTGGTCTATTTCCTCCTCTACATCCTGTTTGGGGTAGATTCCAGGGAGAATAGAGGCTACCACCTATTCATTGCCTGGCCCTACCGGGCCTGCAGTGGATTGGACCTCAATTGTGGTAGCGGAGCAGGTTCTCCGAATAAAGGATGTCAAGCGAGGAAGATTTTTATGGAGCAGAACCACCGATGTCGGCTTTTCTTGGAAGCCGTCACAACGGCGGGCGCTCTACCGAAGAGACCATCAATCTTTCGATGAACGCAAAATTGCCTCCATCGTACGACGGCCGTGTTAGTTGTTTTCGATATGAAGATCTGGTAAGGGGTTGGTGTACATTCACGGTTATTGAGCCGGAACGACGAGGCCCCTTTCTCAAGAACCGTCTCATAGACGAGGCGCAGTGTTTCCGCGAGCTCCTAGACAATGAGAAACTCATCGACGGAGATACAGGAGTTGACTATTTTCTCAACTTCTTGCGCGGTTACTTCTTGAAGGGAGTCCAGAATGTATTCCTATTTAGATTCCTCAGTTTCTTCAACCATCGAAGAGGAAATGGTGAGTTCATAACTTTCATTGGCAAGTTTGAGATTCTTCTCCGAAGACTACGTGCGTCTTGGGAAGATACAGCACCAGAATTCACCATGAATAGTCCTGAGTACCTTCAGGCCATTGCTGATGCCAACACGCAACTGCGTGACCAGCACAACCAGAGAGTAAGTTCAGGCGAACTTTGAACGATTCGCCCGGAACAAGAGAGCAGAGCACACCAATTCTTTTCCACTGTCCGACAACATGCTTACCTTGTTCTTCATCATTCAGAGTGAACTTTCAGAAGGCCAACGAGAAAGATTAGTATCTTCATTGAGCCTTAGAGGGATTCAGCTTCCTCAGTTCACTTATGAACTCGTCAAGGCCCAGTATTACGACCTTTTCATCACCACTAGAACCAATCTTCAGGATCCGAATATTCGCCCTTCAGGCGGAAACAGATCCAAGACCTTCTTTATCCTTGAACAAGGAGATTGTGAAGGCGAAGAAGGATTCTGGGTAGAAGATGAAGAAGGTGCGGAAGGCTTTTGTCCATTAGATGATGAAGAAGCTTTTTGGCAGCTGGAAGACAACGATGCTTTTGTTCTCAGGAGAATTCAACGCCGGACTCTTAAGTCTGGCAAGGGGCGAAAAGGAAGAAAAGGAAAGGGGAAGCGCCGAAGAGGCAGTTTCAGACCTTTCAGAAAAGCACAATCAGGCGGCAAGGCCAACATGGCCGAAGATTCCACCACCGATCATTCCTACTGGGGAAAGAAAGGCAAACCACAACCTTGGTACCAAAAGGGAAAAGGAAAACCCTCCAGCAAATCCAAGGACAAAGGAAAGGATCCAGGCAAGGATGACAAAGGAAAAGGAAAAACGAAAACCTTTGCCGTGGATCATAATGCCGAAGCACAGGATGCCACACAGCAACCTGTCGACATATCGGCAGAGCCTTACCAGGATGATTGGGGCCAAAGTGCCTGGTGGTCCACAGAATGGAACAGCAGTTCATACTACGCGACCCAAAATGAAGGTCACATGGCTTACCTAGCAAGTCCAACATATGAAGTGGATGCTAGCAGAAGTACGGTCACCCAAAACGGCTTGACCTACGACATCATACCGCATGCGACTCCGAATCGAGCTCAAGCTTTGGCCAGTAAACTCATGGCGCCCATCATCAAGCAGGTCGACAATCCAACCTATGTCATCCTTGACAACGGTTGCACGAAGTCCATGGGCAGTTGGTATGCAGTGGAGAGATTCGTGAAGGCAATTGAGCCATATCCACATCGTATGTGGTATGATTATATTCCGTGCAACACAAGGTTCACTTTTGCCAATGGTCAGACCTCCAAGGTCGACTGGACTCTCCAGCTTCATTTCAATACAACACCACGTATGGTGACCAACATAGATATTCTTGAGCAAGGACAAGTTCCAATTTTATTCAGTATTGATCAGATGCGAAATCTTCACATGACGATTGAACATACTCCTCAGTGTGATAAGATTACATGCAAGGCATTTGGCATGAATCGACAGCCTATTCCAGTGTCTCACAGTGGCCATGCACTACTTGATCTTGCAGCCTTTTGTAAACAACACAATCACAGGACGGCGACTAAGGCATTCGACGACGACAAGATCAGCCCGAAACCGTATCCATCACTGCTTGTTTCAGCTTTTCCAGCCGAGGCAGAGTCGAAGGAACCCATAGTTCCTGCACCGGCGCCAGCAGCAGATGTTACGGAAACGGTCGGCCACACAAACAATGACCACTGGATTATCAATCACACGACCAAGGAACTTCATAGAGTTCATGTGTCTACGAGGAGAGCATTGTTCGCACCTGATACCAGTAAAACATGTCCGATTGCTCACACTCAGATTTATAATCAGAGAACGACCAAGAGATTTCACCCGGAAACGAAGGAACCAATGTCCACCATTGAAGACAACTGGCGAATGAAGATAAAATCGCCAAGTTCAACAGCAGAACTGTGGACAGGTTCGACCATATTCAAGTTCTCTGACAAGCCACTTACAGCAGAACAGATTCACATCGACAAACCAGCAGACAGGATCATTTCCGCACCAGGTCGGCATGCCACTGAGCCAACCGATCCTGCTGCACCACAAGAAGCATCACCAGATGCTCCACCGACCACACTGCCAATCGCACTCAAACGCATCCACACACGACTCTCAAAACCAGAAGAACTTCGCAAACTTCACCTACAACATCACCACATGTCAGCAGAACAATTCAAGTTCAGGACCCGAGCGTTGCACCTGCCGAAGGCGATATACGACCTCTATGACAAGATTCGAGCTGAATGTGAACCCTGTCAAAAGGCCTCAATCGCACCATCGAGAAGCAAGACCAGCGGTTTGAGAGCAGAAACATTTGGAGAGTTGACATTTGTTGATCATTGTCAGGTTCCGTTAGGAACTGGTGAACACATCAACGTTCTCGTGATCCTTGATGGAGCAACAACACTACTGACCACTGAAGTAGTAGAGAGAACCACTGATGTCACCAATATTCCTTTGCTTCGGAACTATTTTGATCAATACCATCTTCAGCCAAAATGTGTCGTTGGAGACCAAGCATTCATGACAGAGAACTGGGAGATATTCTTCAACAGTCTCGATATTCGTCCTGTATCCTTAGGTCCCATGACACCTTGGCCGAACCGAGCTGAAGCAGCAGTCCGTCTCATCAAGAGACAGATTTCCATAATGCTCAACTCAATCAAGACAGGCATAGCACCGGCCTCACTGAAGGCCGTCACATACAGGCAACTTGTCAAGGCAGCAGCAACCGCACGGAACCTCTCTGTCACATATGGCGGAGTCACTCTAGCATTCGGACGCAGGCCAGCAGAGCTCGTCCAACTGGACGTAGCGACACCATCACAGCTCACAGTTCCGAGAACACAGGAAGAATTGACTGCTGGGCAGATTCGGCTACTTGCCCAACAAGCTTATCAAGAAGCTCGACAATCAGAAGATGTCCGCCGAGATCTTGCGCAACACCTGCGACTTAGTTCCAAGCCAATCGTAATTGGCGACAGAGTCTTTTATTGGAGTGAGGACAAGTCAAAAATAAAACCGGATGGATCAAAGGGAGGAATGTGGTTAAAAGGAAAGGTCATATCCACAGATGGCACTATGGTTGGCATAGACCTTGGAACAAGATTGCTCAAGGTCAATATTACTAAGCTGAGAAAGGACGAAACCAAATCGCCATCAAAACCAGGACTTGACCTACCATCCTCCGATGATGATCTTCATAAAGATCTTATGTCACAAGGCAGGGCAGCAGACCGACCAGCCAAGCAGATACTTAAGAAAACTTCCATGGCAGATCCAGATTCCGCAGATCCAGAACCTTCATCATCAACTGGTCTATACACTGAAGACCAGACATGCGAACATCAGAACGCAAACTGGAACTGCGTTACTAAAGGAAAGATCCACATGCTGGAAGTCTTTGCCGGCAGTGCGAGGCTGAGCCAGT